CAGGAGAAGCCAAAGAAGAAGCGGCAGCCTCGCAGCTCTGCTGAGGAAGGGGCCGATACTGAGGAGGCAGCAGATGGCGGCACTCCACCGAAGAAGAAGAAAGAAAATAGAAGAAAGTCTAAAGTGCCTCAAGAGAGGACTGAGACAGGTAATGATAAACTGGGGTCACTTTAGTCAACAGTTCTCAAAGAAAAAGTAGATGCAAGTTGCCCTGAGTAACTTGCTGAATTTTCCTGGTGAAAAAATTCATTTTCCTCTGCTTAATGTGTTCCCAAAGTATTTTTTTTAGGGAGAAGCCCCATGTTGCAAATTTTAAGGGTAAACTTTGTGTAAGGGAAAAAAAAAAAGAAGCATATCACCTCCATCTTCAGTTGCCTCCATAGCAATGAAGAAATGTTTGGCTTTTTTACTTGGATTTAGAAAGAAAGGAGTTTGAAAGCTGTTGCTTAAGTTTGTCATTGTAAAGTGTTCCCTCCATCCCTTTTCTGTAGCACATTCTCACCCGTAGCTTTGTATTCTTGTTATACAAATTCCAGATTCTGATGAGGACACCAAACAACAAGAAAACAGAAGCAACCTTAAAAAGAAGCCTTCTAAAAGAAGGAAGGAAGATGAAGAAGCAGAGGGAGCTGAAGCAGGGAAGAAAGAGAACAGTGAAAGAGCTGAAGGAAATCAGAGCACAACAGAGGAGCTGTCTCTAGCAGCCTCAGGGGAAGAGCCAAATCCTCCACCTTCCAGTTTAATGGTTCTTGGAGACTATGACAGAAAACCAGTGCAGAAGGTAACTAGCTTGACTGAATGTTGATGGTGGTCGGAAAGGAACAGGGATTTTACCAGCTTATGTATGGTATTGTCTATTTGACAGCAGAAATACTTTGTTATTTTCCTTTCCTCCAGGTTCAGCCTTTCTTGCCACAGTGGCTTGCTCAACCCAAACTAGTGCAAAAACGTATCAAAGATAATCTAGTTCCAATTGCAGACGTTCCAGGAATTCATCCTCGACTGTTGAAAAAGCTGCAAATGAATGGGATAGAGTCATTTTTTCCAGGTACCTTGATAATGCTTTTGTTTCTTTCTGAACTGATTTATGTAACTCCTCCAGTCTATTGCTGTATATGTTGCGTAGTCAGTGAAGTAAAGTAAGAACAGAAGAAAGTTTAGTGCATCAGAGTGATCCTACCAGTTTTAACCCTTCATCTTCAAAGCTTTACCTAGGCTGAGTAATTCAAGTGTATTACCTAGGCCTAAATGTAGCCTCACAAAGTACGAGACTTGAAGTAATAGCTCGGAGCTGCAAAAAGAGGGAGGTTCTGTCTCTTCCCTTTTTGCCCCCCTTATACTCATTTTTACTCTAGTTTCTTAACTCGCGCTCTCTTCTGCTAATCGGACCTCTCATTAAAACAGCAGAAAACCATGCAAGCAAAAAAAGCTACTGTTTTCCCATTATTTTACTGTTTCTTCAAACAACTGCAGTATCCAAAATAAATGGAAGGCACAGCTTGGAAGCAGGGGTAAGGAGAGGAGGCAACGGGAGAGGGGGGAAGAAGGTGGGATCTCTGACCTTCAGTCAGTTACTTGGTCCAGCTGAGCCTGGAGGCTTAAACTGTATCAGAGACTCATCAAGGTTACATTGGAAAGCCAGCTTGTGTCTTCTCTTTTTAAAGAGGCTGTTACATAATATTTAAATGTAAATGCTATTGCTTATTTTGTCATGGTTGCTGGATCTTAACTGGTTGCTGACAGCAGCTTCTTATGTTTTCTCGTGAATCAAGTCCAGCCTATGGCACCTGGTAGTAGATGAACCAAGCAGTGTTGTGCTCTGTCTGGTAGAGATGGTGTCCACTGAAATCGTATGTCAAACCTGTCACCAAGTGTGCTCTTGTCATGGAGCTAGATCCCCTGGCTGCTAAACTTCATAGATAAGCCGAAGTTGGCCAGTGTGTCAGGGCTTGTCAAGGGGTGGGGAAAGCAGAGAGTTCACACACGACATGCAGAGCTATTGTCTGTATAGGGCTTTGCCTCAGCCCTTGTGTACTCTTCTTCAGCAAGCCTGAAGGACTCCAAAGCCTGTAGAACTTTTGTGTTTTGCTTCTTGGCAAGTAAAGCTGCATTGCTGTGTTGCATGTTCTGTCTTTACGTAAGAGTAGTTTGTCATTGAAAGAAGGAACGCTTACAGACAAATATTTGTAGGTTTTAAATCTACCCAGTGACATGAGAATGAGAAGGCAAATGTGAGTTGAAAACAATATTTAACACAGTAACATCCTAGCTGAGCACTGGAAATAGCTGAATGCTTGCAGGCAAAAATCTGTATAATCAGTGCTAAGCTCCTGTGAGTGAGCTAGAGATGGGTAAAACCAGGTAGCACTTCTAGTAACAACTGGTTTTGATTTCTTCCTCCCTTAAATCTATAGCAACAGCAACACAGATGTGGAAACAGATTCAGTGTATATAACTGCTTTCATGGATGCAATAGTTTTAGTCCGGTTAACTCTGTGGTTAATGTTTGCTTCCATTTTTGTTCAGTTCAGGCAGAGGTGATTCCTGCTATTCTACAGAGTGCGTCCAATGGGTATTTGATGGGGCCGGGAGGATACCGACCCAGAGACATCTGCGTCTCCGCACCTACTGGCAGTGGTAAAACCCTGTCGTTTGTCATACCCATAATACAGGTGAGTTTATCCCCAGTGAAATAGCGGTAGGGAAAAATGCTGGGGTTGCTTTTGTTCAAGGGAAACCTGAAATAAGAAGTAGGTCTAAAAGCCAAGGAATATTTGACTTCAAAGCAGCAGATTTGTAGCTGAGAGCTGTCTGAGGGAGCTGTATGAGTCCCCTTCGTCTCAGCAGCCAAATCCTTTTCTTAGACAACAGGCATGGCATGAGGAGTTGGGACAGTGGAGGGGAATAAAACCGAAGTGTAAACGTCATGAGGCTCTGTCAAGTCTCTCTTTTATCACTAGGTTAGATACAAGAACTACCTTCTCTCCCCTGCTTCCAGAGACTCATTTGGCTTTTGTTTTGGCAGGTTCTGCTAGATCGAGTAGTTTGCCGAGTACGAGCTCTGGTTGTTCTGCCCACCAAAGAACTGGCACAACAGGTATGTGGCTCTCCACCTTTTCTCTGAGCAGAAGCGGGTTGAGGGAAAGGCTGGTGCGGTTGATAATTGGCTTGACTGGTCTGTGAAGCAGGTTGAAGACCTGTCAGTGGCTTTGGTGGTGTTAGATTAATGGGAAGTATTACTTGAACTGATTTTGTTTTGACTAATGAAGCCCATCTCTTTGCAGGTGAGTAAAGTGTTCAACATTTACACTGATGGGACAGGTCTGAAGGTCGTTTTGATTACTGGCCAGAAATCTTTTGCAAAGGAGCAGGAGATGCTTGTCCAGAAAAAGTAGGTTAAAAAGTCTTCTGGTAACATTTATAGAGGTTGTAAATATTTAATCTCAATAAGCAGGCTTCAAAATACAGGCTATTGCATCACACAATAACGGTTTTGAATAGTGGATTTATGTGCTAGACACTCGTTATTCTGTCTTTGTCAAAGTGTCTGCTACTATCCCCTTTTATGATTGCTGTGTTTTACTAGATTTCAAGGGTTCTTCACAAGCTGAATAGAATGCAAATGTTTACCTTATACCTGCAGGTACAAGTGATTATTATAGGATTTTGCTGCAACTAAGTTTTTTTTAAAGGCAATGAATAAAGACTTTTTTTTTTGTTTAAAATGAGGGTTTAGTGTCCAGCACTGCCTTTGCATGCTTTCCAAAGTGCAGTATGTATTTGAATTTTACTATTTCTCAGTTAAATGAATAGTAGGAAAATATTTAGCTTCGCTTACCACGGCTTTCCATTAGATGCTTTAGTGTGTAGAGATAAACTTGCTGATGGGCTGCTTGTTCTTCCAGAGTGACAGGCTACTGCAGCCTGGCTGATATTATTGTGGCAACGCCAGGCCGGCTCACGGATCACATCAACCAGACCCCGGGGTTCAGCCTGACACAGCTTCGCTTCCTGGTGAGTCAGCTCCACACGTCTCCCATCTCAGCACAGGGTCTGTTACAGCTGTAATTCCTGCTTTGTTCTTGCGCAGTATGTAACTGCGTCTCTGTTGGAACTGTTATATGGACTTGATCTACACTGCAGACTGCTCAGGCAGCAATCTCGAGATAAGATGTTTTGTTCCAGCTCGTGACACCCAAGCAGCCACCCACTTCTGCTTCTCTTTTAGCCTCTTGCAAACACAAACTCAGAATAGAGCCCTATCAGTCAAGGTCAGGGTAAATGATGAGGCTGTAGTAGCTTCTACCATATGGGAGTCTGTGCAGAGACATAGTTGCAATCTTATTCAGAATATGGAGATTTTTATCTCTTATTTGGAGATGTGGACTGGATTTGTGTGCAGATAAACAGTAGTTTGAATGTCAGGCTGGCTACTGAGTCACTGAAACAAAAGCAAAATTCAGTTTTCAGGTAGAAAATTCTGCCTTTGTTTGATAGTATTGATAGTAATGATAGTATTACAAAAGAGAAATAAAATCTGGCTAATGCTAGACGGTATTTGCCAAGTGGGATTTCTCTTCCTTGTGAATTCAGATTGTAGATGAAGCTGACCGTATGATTGATGACATGCACCAAAACTGTCTGAACCAAATTGTGAAAGCTGTGTTCCGGGTAGAAGATGACTCTGGCTCCAACATGCTTTTTCAGAGGATCAAACCAGGGCCTGTAACAGCAGCCAGGTAAGTTGCCAAATGCATTTCTTTGAACTGGTAGCATGGACATGAGTGCTTAGATGTAACTGCCCTGCTTCACAGTACTCTCTCGCAGGCACTCCAAAAGATTGCTTACTTGGAGAAGTGTCTGCCGAAGTAGGCAGTTCCTTTTCAAAGCTCGAAAAAGAGGATGTCTTTTAGACTGAAGCTTAAGTAAGTATTGTATTCTCCAAGCTTTCCTTGTCTAGACTAAAGGAGTGTCAAAAGAACACACAAATATTGCAAGTCTGTGATTCATTTACGCAATGACTGTAGTTATGCCCTCTGGCAAGCTGAGTGATGGATTTGAAGGAAAACTGTTGGCATTCTCTGTCTGCAGCTGCTGTTTTCCTACAGCATGGTGGAGATGTGTCAGAAACAGAGATCAGTGACCAAGGAAGGAGGCAACTAGAGTGAGGACACGGGTGACTAGGTTGTAAGGATGTCTGCAGGGGTGACAGATAAGGATTGTGCAGTTGGTGGAGTGCGCTGATCCGTTCCATTTGTGAACTCTACTGTAAAACAAAGGTGGAAAAGAACATACAAGAAAGGTCCAGGGCAGGAAAAGAATATCAAGAAGAGTTAATTGCTTCCCTTATAACATCATCTGAAGGCACTTGTGGAGGAACTCCTTTGCTCTGTCCTCAAAGCTTGGTTTCCGTGTGTCATTTATTTCAGCTCCTGCTATCTTCAGATACCCTTACAAAAACTGCTGTTTTCAGCCACGCTGACCCAGGACCCAGAGAAACTTCAGCAGTTGGACTTATTCCAGCCTCGTCTCTTCACGTCTGTCTATTCTGAGAAAAAAACACTTGGAGATGGAACAGAGACTGAACAAGATAGTAATAAGAAATACACGCTCCCTGAGGAGCTGTCGGTAGGACATTGATTCTCTTGAATAAATTATACTTGAAGATTTGCTCAACTCTAGAGTATACCCAACAAACAAATATGTGTTCCCTATGGTTCCTTGCGTTACAGAGGTGCTGGGTGAAAGTGCCTTTGGGAGTCTTTATGACCCAGGGAGCTCTACCTTTGCACATTTGTTCTCATTGCTTAGCGTCCTTCTGGTTAAGACAGGATTATTTTATTTTATTTTTTTAAATTAAAATCTCTTAATGCAAAATTAAGTTTACTAGCAACCAGGAGCGGAGATATGAAGTAATAATAATGTGATAACACTTATCAGCTCCCCATACGTCTAACATACATTTCAAGGCATGCAGATACAGGTCACCCTGTAGGCAAAGCAGTGCATGTAGTTACTTGCTGTGGAGAACATTAGAGCACCAGCAATGTCCTGTCTCTGCTTCCTGGTGTATCCCCCCAGCCTGTGGTTGTCACTCACTCTAAAAGGGGTAGCATTGTGGGATCTAGTTTTGCTGCTATTAGTGTGTTGTAGAACATCCAGTCCTACATAGGTCATGGGCAAGTGGTGAGTTTTGGAGGAGGTAGCCTTGGCAAGAAGTAATTTTTCTCTCTGAACTTCTTCCCTGTTGACTGCAGCAATGTTATGTGCCTTGTGACCTGAATTCCAAGCCTTTGCTCCTCTTACATTTCATGCTGACAATGAAATTTACCCGCGTGTTGTGCTTTACCAACTCCAGGGAAGCTTCTCACAGGTGAATATATTAATATCACTATAGTAGGTATCGGTCAAGTGATGTTACAGAGGTAATGAAGGGACTGTTTCTATCCCATTTATTTACAGATTGTTCTTGCTGGTTCAAGCCTTTGGTGGAGTCACTGTGGCTGAATTTTCTTCTCGGTTACCTCCAAAGGAGAGACAGAGAACCATGAAGGAATTTGAACAGGGAAAAATACAACTGTGAGCATCTTAAATGAGTTTCCTGCATGTCTTCCAACATAGGTTACTTCCAGTGTGAAAAGCGAGGTGGAACCAAGAACACAATTAAATGGGGCCCTCTGTGAAACAGAGCATGCAAAAACCAACTTACAGAATGGGTGTGAGACTTCGACTTGTGTCTTGATTGTTTACCCTGCATGTAACTTGGCCTGTTTTAATCTGTCATCTGAATTTGTGTGTTATTTTATAAGAAGCAGTGAATATAAGTGATTGTTCATATAGTTGCCCAAAGTACATACAGTTCTGAAAATCTTGATGTGCTTGGCACCTGGCACTTGTTGGAAGAAAATGTTTGTTGGTGCTGAAACTCTATGTAGTGTTAGTGCTTCCTACCAAAGAAATCCCAGATCAGGCTGGCACAGAGATTTACTTCCTTCCGTGTACTTGATTTGTCTTGTGATTTTGCTAGCTGTATGAGATTGCATTTGTGGAGTGCCCCTGCGAAGGTGGCCAATAATTTTCTTTTTGTCCAAACCTGATGTTTAAATTCCTTCTCGACTACAGAAATTGTGTACCTCTCTGTCTGCCTTTGTGGAATGTTTAGATTGTATCCCCAATGGAATGGGAGCTATCTGGCTTAGTGTTGCAATCTCAGATAACCTGGAAACACCCATAACGTTTTATACTCAGCAGTGACAAGCCTATAGTCATGCTTGGAGGTGTGTGGGCAGCTGCCAGGGCCAGTGACAATAAGGAGTGATAAGCAGTGCTGCTGGCTTGCTGGGAGGTCAGAGGCCGGCTGCCAACTTTGAACAGAGATCAGGGAGAGTTGTGCCATGTTCACTTGTGTTTCCCTTGTGTGTGTGGTACAAGAGATGTCACCTGAAAGTGACTCTGCTTGAGAGAGTCCAGCGCAGAGCCACAAAGATGATGGAGTGGAACATCTCCCTTAGGAGGAAAGGCTGAAGGAGCTGGGTCTCTTTAGCTTGGAGAAGAGGAGGCTGAGGAGTGACCTCATTAATGTGTATAAATATGTCAAGGGGGAGTGTCGGGAGGACGGAT